GGACGTAGAGAAGGCCGTATGCTGCTCATGACAGAATCCGGGCAAAATGAAACTAAAGAGGGTTGATCATGACCGCAGTTGACACCAACAACATAGGTCTGGCAAGCATCTCCATGTACCAAGCCGTTGTAAATCGAAATATCTACAGAAACTAAATCGCCTGCTTCGAGGAGATCCTGATGAGAGGGGATACCATGAACAGCTACCGAATTGACTGAAGTGCAAACGGATCTAAATACAAAACAAAAAATATGTATTTGATAGAAGCCTTTCCGGGTTTACGAATTTATTAAAAATATTATTATATGATTATGATAGTTATGATGAGTACTTTTAGTGCTATTGTTGCAACAATATTATGATTATTAAAAATAATATAGAGTCAAGAATGAAGAACATACCCAAAGTTGAATTTCGAATGTATAATCTGACTGTAAGATGGTTTAGGGAACCTGAGCCGAGATTGAATCTCAAAATAGGTGACGAAATAGAAGACAGTAAATTGTGTAATGTAGAAAGCACAGAAGAGGCAATACGATCAGTTGTGGCAGAGGTGGGACGCGGAGGTAATGTGAAATTAGTCCAATCAATTCCCTAGTTTTTGCATAGCGGTTAAATTCATGTCAATGAAAACAAGGACATAACGATATGATTGTAGGACTTCGTTTGGGTTTTAATGCTTATTTTCTCTCGGTTTCGCATATAAATTAAGGTTTTTGCAAAAGCATATACTTTGACTTGGACTTTGGGCGCCTGTTGGCATTCCACAAATGAAGTGTAGGCAGCTTCTTATGTAGGCCACCTCTTCGTGCACTTTTTAGCGTATATTATCCTAATCCGCTCCGCTGGCAAGATAGGTTTGACATTCACGTGAGGGCCGCACTCACACAGAGTCGAAATCCAAACAAACACCTCCAGCATCCGCTTGGTTCAGTATGCAATTATAATTAAGGAACGTTACATGCCCTGCGGCAACAAGGAAATTGTCTATCAGACATTGCGTCTCAATATAGTATCTAATAGTTATTTCCCTTCTACGTTGGACAAAACACTGAAGAGCTTATCTCGTTTCTCCAGTTCCCAACCTTTCATCTTCTCTTTCTTATCCCCAAATTAAGAAAGCCCCTATATTCACACTAGCTAACTCGGTACATAAAATATATTTTTTATTTCGTCTCCTATTTCGTCATACTGTCCCTTTGTAACATACGTCTAGGAGTGAGATCACAGCATGGTATTATAATTTTTTGGCAAATAGTCTTAGACATTTCTTAAAGCCCCCGTTAAAACTGCTTTATCCTCGGGATAGTGACTAAGAATCACTACGTCTCGCTAATGAAAAGAATGTCGTACATTTCAAGTCCATAATTCAATCAAAGGTATGAAGACCAAGATTGTGAGGCCATATAAGTGGTTAGCTCACGCTTTCGCAACTTGATCGTGTTATCAGAGACCTAGATGAACGCAACATGAACACGTCGGCCCGTGGACTTAGTACATTTCCAAATGTTTCATCGACATTGTCAGCAAACCTTGACCTTCCTGGCACTAAAATTGAAACAAAATTTTTGGTGTAAGAGTGGCAAACCTAGTTGGCAATTCCGGTTATACCTCCAGGAATGCAGTGATTTCCGATCAAACGCTAGAAATTATAATGACAACTATGGCAGAGGACTTCGGACAAGGTACGTTCACCTAGGTCTCTAAAAATAATACAAAGTTGCGAAAACGAGATTAAACTCTTAAAACTATTAACTTGAAAAATTTAGTATAATTAAGGGAATCTGAAAACATTCGATTGGATCGATGAATGCCTGATAGAAAACTTGGACCACGAAGATAATGATAACCTAATTACGAGAAGTATCAGGAAATTTGGCAGTATAGTTTTTGTCATCCAAGTGAAAATTGAAGCCCTTTATCTACTATAAGTTAGTCTCATGTAAATGCTCTGAAAAATCAGCAGCTTGGCTTATTCACCATTGATTCACCACTAGGATCTTATTGATCCCAAAGAATACGTCCATAAAAAACGAAGATATTATAAACATACGGTGACAGTTGTTTCCTAGGCTTTCATGCAACAATTTTAA